AATGAATAAAGGCTGATAGTTTCGAAAGAAACTGTTTGGGGCTGCGTCGGTGGGAGTAACGAAATAATTTGGATATATCAACAAAGTTGAAATGGTAAATTGGCCACCGTAACGATTACAAAAGCTGACGTTTCGAGCGTTAGCCCTTCGTCGGAGCGAATAGAGGAATTGTGGGTTGTGTGTGCTTTTAAAGGCAGAAAATGGAGCTACGTTATTGGTGGGAACATGGCAAGGAGAAAAACATGAACAAATTAGTGGAATGAAAAGCGTTCGTTGATCCCTGTGGGATTTAGACTGCCGGTTTGAAAGATGAGCTTTTGTTCAAGATTTTTACCGCTTTCCGTGCCACCGTGCAAGGAAAGACCGCAGATTGCCATATGTTGCTTAGAATAATTAGGTAAATTACATTGCCTGCCGGTTTGTTGCGTTGGGGTCGGGGTGTGAGCTGAAAGAAGTATTTTGTTATGCGACGCGATGATGGATTTCATGTTTGGCATACAAGAGTAGCTGAGTTTGAGCGTATGTCTATTGAAGATCTTGTGAAGCGGATGCTCCTTCGAGAAAAATTTTACAACAATGTTGAAGAACTTCCTTCCTAGGTTGGTTTTGACGCTGGAGTTCCATGGGGGGTTGTACCAAGTGATGTTTCTTTCGCGATTTCTCCTGTGGTTTTTCGCCGATGTTTGGGTAGTTTGAGGGTTGTATGATAATTTGTGTGTATACCCACTATCAGCTAGTGCCTTTTGGTACGGGAAAATGGCTTTTTTGAAAACGTTTTCGTTAGATGAGATGCTCTTCAGTCTTTTGTTAATGTTTTCTGGGATGTTCTTAAGTAGGGCTGGGGGGGTGGTTGCTCTGTCGATGTTGATTCTGGGGTACGTGGCCGCCCAGTGTAACAAAACAGCAATTGACACCTTTTCTTTTAATATTGAGTGAACTCAGCTGTAACAGGTAAGCATTACAGGTTACTACCCTCGTCAAGACAGCCGTGAATCTTGTATTAATGGAATGGTTATCATCTGGGATTTTGTGATAAATTTAAGCCCTGCAGTTCGAGAAAATATGTATTCAAAATGGCCGATCGATATTCCCGAGAAACTACAAAAGTGTGAGCTATCAACAATTGTAACTCTAAATCATTCCAAATTAAGTCGTTCTTTAACGACAATCCTCGAAGAAAACGAAAGCTATCGCAATTTCAAGTGAAGTTACAATTAAATTTACGTATCTCAGTTCTAAGATTTTTTATTCTCGGAACGTCTTTCGCTCCGACGAGAGGCTAACGCTCGAAATACCAGCCTTCTAAACTCTTTACGGTGGCCAATTTACCATATCAACTCAGTTGATAAAACCAAAATTTCTGAATTAAATATCGACAGCTCATTGCAATACGTCCAGTGGTTAGGTTTTGAAAAAGAAACTTACATGTCCGCCATCATATGTTTCCACAAAGGCTCTCTCTATCTCCCCAATTTGTCGGATTGCTGTCAAATAATTAGGCGTTCGATCAGTAAAAATCTGGTTTCTTGATAAATATAAAAAAATTAAAGGATACGTACATATCATGCTCGCCTTCAGCGATTTCAGACGAATCTTTCGCTGTCATCTTCCCTCCACAAAAAAAATGTCGTCTGCAAATATTGTGGGGGATGGGGTGGGGGTTACAAGTTCGGACTGACAGACAAAGGCGTAGTATATTTTCCAATCCAAAACAATGACAGAAACTTTCGTGCAAGGTATTTCTCTCGTAAGATACCCACTATAGAACTTTTTTTTTCAGTGAGAGAAAAAATTGAAGCAGCTACAGAATAGATTTAAATGTTGCGTTCAAGTATATCATTAATCATACCCATGAGGTCACTTTTGTACAATATAATTTTATTCAGTAAAAGAAAGCCAGAAAGCCAATGAATAAGCTTCGAAAAGCCGCTTTGGAAAGAGGACATTTTTATACGATACTGTATGTATAAATTAGAGTGAAAAAATTACACTAGCTAACCGTTTAGTGGGAAAATAAATGTATGGTGAAGGAACCTTGTATCCATTTTATGAATCGACTCAAGTTATTTAAGTTGAAGTTTAGAAATACGAACACTTAAAATAAAGCCCAAAGTCAGCAAATAAACGTAGAAATCCCACAACATCTTGATTTAAATCATTTTCACCTTCATTTTAGTAAACATATATAATCAAATAAATATAACACAATTTATCGAAAAATATAATTTTAACTAGGAATAAAAGATCCTATTCTGTAAAATTTCATAACGCACCAAAAATAAACGATTCTATGCTCTTCAATACTTTTTTTTTTATTTTCTGCGAAGCCACTGCACTTCCCTAAAAATAGGAAGTGACGTAATGATTATCAGTCCGCATCGTCGGCATTATGGTCGGTTACTATTGCAAAGTTATTCCTTTTATGGTTCAGGAATATATTTTGAGAATAAAAGATCTCATTCTGTAAAACTTCATAACGCACCAAAAATAAACGATTCCATGCACTTCAATACTTTTTTTCGCTTATCTAAAAATGCTAACAAGCCAAACACACAAATATAAACTTTTGGCTTACTGGCTAATAAATCTGAACTTCTAAAGCCTCTCTGATTAATTGTAACATAAATATACATCATAACTTTGTAAACTATAGCCTTCTAATTGATTAACGCATTAAATCAACAGTTGATCAAACACGTTTAGGTTAACAGCTCACCTCTTGACAGATGCAGCATTCATCGTGGCCATAGTCAGATCTGCACTCGTGTTTCCCTTGAAGCCGTTTGTCAAGATATAAATTAGACACAAGATAATGGAAAGACTCGACTTTGTGTATCCTAAGAAAACAAAACCAAATCACTCAATCTTTCCCACAGAAGTTGATCCAATAAGAGATAAACAAAAAGTTTTACTGTAATAAGTATGTTAACAAGGTTAACTACTGGGAGCTTAGCAGACATTCTAACTCAGTATCCATTGTCAATAGTGAAGGCTTGACTGCATTAGAGAATTTTTTTAAAAAAAGATGGAAGTAAATCTTGGACATGCTTACCTCGTGCACTCTTTTTTCAATAATAATAAACTTTTTTAAAGGAACTTTGAGGCTGAGATTAATCAAAATTTTAAGAACGTATTAAGAACATTTATCAGGCTGAGAGTCGATTAAGAACGTTTTTATTTTGCTAATCTTTATGTTAAATAACAAGCATGAAGTCAAGGTAACGAATTTAAATTAACCAAAATCATTTTAAGGGCATAATTTGGATATATCAACAAAGTTGAAATGGTAAATTGGCCACCGTAACGATTACAAAGCTGACGTTTCGAGCGTTAGCCCTTCATCAGAGCGAAATAGTGTACATGTGTACCATATAATTTAAGAAAATCTTAAGGGCGTATTCAGTCTCAAATCGCAAAA